TGAAAACCTGCTCAATATCAGCAGGTTTGTACAAATACAACAAAAACAAACAAACCCCAAAAAACTACAATAAGATAACACTACCCACAGATTAGAATGACTGAGATTTAGAAGATTGCTCATGCCAAGTATTGGTGAGGATGTAGAGGAACTGGACTCAAATCTTTCCAAAATGTCAATGTAATAAAAGACAAAACAAGGCTATGGAAATGTTCCAGATTAAAGGAGGTCAAAGAGACATGTTAATTAAATGTAATGGCTGACCCTGGTCTAGATCTTGTATTGGAGAGAAAATGTTACAAAGGACATTATTCAGTCAACTGACAAAACTGGAACATAAATGGCAAGTTAGATAAAAGTATTGGATCAATGTTAACTTTACTGAAGCTGATAAATATACTGTGATTATACAAGGGAACTTTCTCAGCGACATACTGAAAGAGAGAAAGCACATGATAAAGCAGATCAGCTAAAATGTTAAGGTTAAAGTAGGTGAGTATGGGCGTGGCTGGGTGTATATGCTCGGTGGTGGAGCGCATGCTTAGCATGCATGACATCCTGGGTTCAATCCCCTGTACCTCCAAATAAAAAAGTAGGTTAATGTGAAAACAGGGTATTGGGTGTTCTTACACTATTTTTATTTTTTGCAAATCTTCTCGGGTTGGAATTGTTTTAAAAATTTTTTTTAAAAAGAAAGAGCTAATGACAGTTTTATTTACAGACAAATTTCTGGACATAGCACAAAACCTGTGAAAATTTGAGGTCTAAATGAAGTTTATTGCACTAATAACAAGAAGATTAATTTTTAACCTACTGAAATTTGCCTATTGAGAAGGGCAAATTAGCAAAACAAAGAGACTGAAATAAAAACATCTTAAAGGTTATTTGGTTCTAGCAATATTTTTCTAAAATTGATGTGAAATTCGCGTAACAAGCAATTAACCATTTTAAAGCACACAATCCAGTGCATTTGTACATTCACAATGTTGTTCCATCACCAGCTAGCAATAGGAATCTTGTTGCCTTTAAAGACAATTTAACATTTGCATTTCAAACTTTTGCATAAATGCTTTTTTTTAAAACAAGTAGAACAAGTTTAACAAGTTAAGAAAAACAGCAAAATAGCTCAAATTACAATCTGTTATATTTTTCTTTCTGATTAGCTTCCCCCAACACACACACACACACACACACACACACACACACACACACACACACACACACACACACACGAATGTTTGAATACTGAGCTACGCTGAAAAGCAATTTTCTAAAAGATCCTCGTAACTTCACTCATCGTTAGCTATCTTGGACCCTAAAACAGGCTGCTAACATGTAGACAAGTCCAGGCCTCTGACAGCCACTGGGCAATATGACTGCTATAAAATTTGTTTCTAGTTTGTGCTAAGTTACTAAGACAAACACCGCAGATTTTACTTAATTTACTCTGAAAATTGATGTACCCCTAGTTCCCGGTGGAAAGCCTTGTCAGTTTGCTCTAAGCCAGCAATGTATGTGATCATCATCATCATTTTCATTTAGTAAAACCAAGTGGGCAAAGCTCAGAGTAGGTACATTCAGTTCCCGCTGACGTGTTCCTTCTCTTTGTGCCGTTTCCCTTGGTTTGGGAATAGTTGAGGCGATCTCGTTTTCACCTTGCATCTCAGTGTTGCCTCCTGGGTGTGCCTGTCTTGAGAAGAATCTGCCTCGTGTGGGCAGCTGTCAGTCACTGACCTGCCCCTCAATTCTCGGCGCGTCTCTGGTCCCTGCTGACATTCCTGAGTCTCTGACCGAGACTTGGTTTCTGTTAGAGAATTCATTTCTGCAGTCTCAGTCATGACTGGTTTAACATTGACATAAATGCCACTGATACAGAGCTTGCTAAATCCATCCCCTGAAGTCCCATGAAGAGGGATTGTTATATTGTCAGAGGTTCCAAGATCTGTCTGTTCTGAACAAGAAATGCTTTGACGAAAGCCCCCAGTGGTGTTTCTATTTTCTGCCAGTCTTGCTCTGGGCTGAAATCCATTTGTAACACTGTCCCAGTCTTTATCTTCCATGGGATGGATGCTTTTTCCTTTCTTTGTTTTTTAACTTGACGTCTACTGTGAGACTTGCATGGTGTTGGCAGCAGCTGTGACTTGCTAGATTCTTTTTCTTTTTTCTGCTGATATACTTGACTCAAGTCTTGAATTAAAGAGTAGGGTACTCTTATCTGCCTCTAAAAAGTAAGAGTTATGCCTCTTCTCTTAACAGAACTTCTGAAGTTCGTGTAAAGATCTACCTTCCCTTTGCGAATTACATTCCTCAGAATAAACACTGACACTCTTTGAACAGCTTTGGTTACTGAAGGTGGACCGTAACCTTATTGGCTATAGTCTTTGGACTGTATTTCTCACTGTAGTATTAATTCTAGCACTATTTTTTCCAAACGTGCTACTCTAAATGGTTGTTCCTCCTTTTGGCTGAATTCACTATTACCTGATTGGCTTGTCTGACCACTCAAATCAGCATGTGGGACATCTGGGAACTGCTTACTGATCTACCCCCAATTCCATTTCTAGTCTTTCAAATGTTGGGAAGGATTCTTCTATTGTATTTTGCTGTTTTGAACCACCTTTAAATCTAGTCTTTGGAATGTTCTATTGCCATCGGGAGTCACTGAGGCTTGGGTTCTTGTTTGCCTAGCCTGAGGACTATTTGATCTTTGATGCCTATTTTTAGTATCGTCTCTGCTGGCATCTGACTGTTGAATGCCTCTATCTTGATCAGGATTTCAAATCCAGTTCTTTTTTTCATGATTTATGCTGATTTCCAGGTGAAATCAGTACCCCTCACTGGATTTGTTCAACTCACAGATCTCGAAATTTGACTTCTATCTTGTTCATGTCAAGTGTTTAGACATGTTAACACAAAAATCTCCACGATAACTGGCTCCTCAGTCTCTGGTGTGGGCGCCAAGTTTCGTATTTCTCAGCTGAGGCTGAGCTGAGGCATGTGCCTTGACTCATCTAACAGCTGTTGTAGTGCTTCTGATTATTTCCTCAGTGGTGCCTGGAAGCTCATTGTCTCCCTCTGATACTTCAACACCAAGTTTATGAATAAACTGGGTTCTTCTTTGTGGAGCTGCTCTTGCTATCATCTTGGTTCTTTTTCACAAGGATTATGGTCTTAAAGTATGCAGAATAATGGTTTCTCCTGCACCCTCCCCGACCAAATTGTCCACATTCTAGTCTCTAGAACCTGTGAATATGTTACTTTATGTGGCAAAGGGACTTTGTAGATGTGATTAAGCAAAATATTTTTAAATGGGGAGATTATCCTAGCTAATCCATATGGATCCAGTGTAACCTCAAGGAGCCTTATAGAGTGAAAGAGAGACACAGGAGGGTCAGAGAGGATGTGACAATGGAAGCAGAAGTCAGAGTGGCATGATTGCTGGCTTTGAAGATGGAAGAGGGTCACAAGCTAAGGGCAGGCAACATCTACATGCTATAAAAAGCAAGAGAATGAACTCTCCCACAGAGCCTCCAGAAGCATCACGGTCCTGCTGCACCTTGTTCTTAGCCAAGTGAAAGGAAGTCTGTATGGGCTTCAGACCTCCAGAATTGTACAACAATAAATTTGGGTAGTTTTAAGCCACCAAGTTTGTTGTACATTGTTACAGCAGCAAAAAGAAACTAATACAGTTTTGAGATGAATTTTGTTTACTACCTTAACTGGATCTACACTGATTCATACTGAGACGTCCTGGCTTTCATATTTTCTTTCCACATGTTAGTGGACTAATTCAATCTTCAATTGTTAGTGCTCTTTTTGAGAGTTGCCCAAATGAAATAGAGAGCTGAGTTGATCAAATTAGGTTGCCTCTGTAGGCCAGGTACTGCTGGTCTTCTCCCGCCACTGTTGCACAGTCAAGGAGACTCTCCAATGTTTTTGTCATATTCTTGCCTCATCAGGAATTGATGATCCTCCTCCTAGGGGGATGTGGTACTGGGTTGGGGTATGTTAGGGGTGGGGAGAAGTCCACACTCTCTCCTGCCTAAAAGGCAGAGGCTGGGGGAGTGGAGACAGGAGGATCTACCATCACTTTTCAAGAGGTGGTTTCTACTTCCAATTCTTCTAAACCTCTAGTGGGTAGAGGAGCTAGTAGCCTGGCTGCAGCTTTGGATGGTCCAGCTGGAGGGGAAGGCTGTGGAGGAGAAGGAGGCTGCAAGCCTGTCTTTTGTTTTGGTCAGTTCAGCCTCACCTACAAGTCAAGAAACCTTTCTATGGAAAAAATTTACTCTACTCCTTTTGAATAGCTTCGCGTTACATGTTTTCTTCAATCAGAAACGTATAGAACCACAGCAAACTGATCATTTTGTTTGGGAATTAGTTCTCGGACTCCAACCACGGCAGAAGAGGCAGCTAACCATCTTTTGCTTTATTTACTGTATGTAAACGTGAATTGGAATACTTTTTCTGTAAAACTTCATCTTCACCTAAATATAGGTTACTTCACCACAGGCTGAATGTAAACAGTGCCTTTTAAATTAATACTTATTTTTGGGGTATGCACTTTTGTAAATTTCTTAGATTTATTACAGTGTTTAGTTTTGAAATGTAAACCCTAACTACTTACTAACAACTACTTACGAAACGTTTTTCTTTTTATGGTTACTTGCTACTACAATTACGGTAGTTTTCTACTTATGGAAAGGTTTATTTAAAAATAAATATTTACTTAGGAATAAAGGTGAATCAGTTTAAAGGACATATTAATTACATAATAACACAACTGGTTTGCAGATACAACAAAGCTCGAGAGACGGAGCAGCGCTAACACCAAACTTTACAAAGCAGGTTCAGCCTCCGTGATGGGGGTGCAGCGGGAAGGCTACGGAAGCCGGGAAGGCCAAGGGGGAGGCTGCAGTTAAGCAGGATCTGGAGGAGAAGCCGGCCCCGCCTCCCCGAGTGCGGCGTAAAGCGCAGGCGCGGCGGCCTGCCTTTGCGGGGCGCTGGGCTCACTGCGCAGGCGCGGCCGTCGGCGTGGTCCCCATGGAGCTGCTTTAGCTGAGCCGGCGTCGCCGCCAGCTTGCGAGATGAGCGCGGCCGAGGCCGACCGCTGGGCGTGGCTGCTGGTGCTCAGCTTCGTGTTTGGGTGCAATGTACTCAGGATCCTCCTCCCGTCCTTCTCCTCCTTCGTAAGTGGCTGCTTGGCCCTTCAGGGGCCGGTGGGCTCTCCGCCTCAGTCCCTGGCGAGCCTGACGTGGACACAGATAAGGGTCTCAAACTGGCCTCTTGAGGGCCGGATTCGGCCTGCGGAGGCGTCTTGGTTGGGCCGTTCTGTGTTTTAAGGTATTTTTGAGGTAGTTGCTAGCGTCTAACAGCTGTAAAGCTTTACTCTCAAATCCGGATTTCTGGATTATTGGGGAGAAGAAAAATACCTGGCAACACTCGGCCACGTTTTCACGTGGCAACCCTCCCCAGGCTGAAGTTCCCAGTGCCCTGTCAGCCGCGCTCACTTCCGTTTCCCCTGGTCCCTGGGGGCGTCGAGCAGCCTTGGGCTGCTGGGGGCCAGTGCCTGGGGCAGGACGGGTCCAGGGCTTCCTCGCATGCGGTGTGAGCTGTGCCATGTCCTGGACGGACGGACGCATCTCAGGTGCATGGGCCCCCATTCTTGGGGGGTGGGGTGGGGTGAGAGTGTAGACAGAGAGTCAGTGCTTTGTGATGTTTCCTGTACCTAAAAGAGCGACGGGCGCTTTGCCCATCATGAGTACTTTACCTCGTGTCCAGTTGCCACAGCTGCTGTGACTGTCGTCTCATCTTCGTTACCTCTCGGAGGAGGTGTCTGACTCAGTCTAGTAATTGTGCTAAGTCATCAAGCTAGTAGTGACTGTTGGGGTGGAGATTTGATCCTCGGTTTGTGATTCTCCTCTGCCCTGCTTTTTGGAGCATGAATAGGGGTTTTGGTGGCAAATTTGATGGGAGGTGTGTAGGGGGAACCTAGGGGGCTGATCCCTGGGGAAGGGCGCCCTCTGTATGCCCACGGTGGCAGTAAAGGACTGACTCGGAGACTTCAAAGGTGGGGTGTACATGTAGCAGTGTCCTGGGAACTCAGTTCTGCCGCTTTTCTTTCCTAGTATAAAGTGGTGGTGGGGGGGTATTTAAGACTAGGCAGGATTTCTACTTTATGTTTCACTCTGTTGGTATCCATTGAGTGCCTGTTTTGTGTAAAAACTCTGTTCTAGGACCTTACCACCCAGGTTCTCCTGAGGCATAAGGAATTCTCTCTTAATGCTATCCCTCCCTCTTCAGAATCTTTACTTATTTTACTTTGTCTTTAAGATGATGTCCCAAGCATTTAGCATGGCATAGAAGACCCCTGAAGAGCAAGCCCTTGCCCACCTGTCTTCTTATTAAAAAAAAAAAAGTGGTAAAATACACACAATAAAAGTAACCATTGTAACCATTTTTAGGTGTGTATATAGCTCAGTGGCATTGAGTACATTCACATTGTTGTGCAATCATCACCAGCATCCATTTCCAGAACTTTTTTATCTTCCTCAACTGAAACTCTGTCCACATTGAACACTGACTCCCAGTTCCTCCTTCCCCCAGCGCCTGGCAACTACTATTCTACTCTGTCTTTATGAAGCTGACTACTCCAGGCACCTCATATAAATGAAATCATATAATATTTGTTCTTTTATATCTTGCTTATTTCACTCAGCATGATGTCCTTAGGGCTTGTAGCCTGTGTTAGGATTTCCCCTTCTTTTTGAAGCTGAAAAATCAATTGTGTGTATATACCACATTTTGTCTGCCCATTCATCTTTTGATGGCCATTTGGGTTGTTTCCACCTTTTGACTGTTGTGAGTAATGATGCTAGAATGTTGATGTACAAGTATTTATTCGAGTCTGTGCTTTCAGTTCTTTGGGTAAATACCCAGAAGTGGAATTGCTGGATCATATGGTAATTCTATTTTTAATGTTTTTGAGAAACTGCCATACTGTTTTCTGGAGTGGCTGCATCATTTTACATCCTCATCAACAATGCGCAAGAGCCCCAATTTCTCATTCTCCAACACTTGTTATTTTTAGATTTTTTTTGATAGTAGCCATCCTAATGGATGCAAGTGGCATCTCATTGTGGTTTTGACTTTTGTTTTCCTAATGATTGGTGATGTTGAACTTCATTTCATGTGCAACTATCTATATTTTGAAAAATGTCTTTTTGGGTCCTTGGCCCACTTTTTAATGGGGCTTCAGGAGCTGTCCCTAGGGGAAGGGTGCCCTCTGGGGGCCCACATTGAATGTGAGGGGCTGTGTTTTTGTGGCTGAGTTAGGAATTCTTTATATAGTCTGGATGTTAACGCCTTATCAGCTATATGATTTGCAAATATTTTCTTCCATTCTGTGGGTTGCCTGCCCATCTTTCTTGCAACGTCACCTCCATTCTTCCTACCCACCCCATTTCACCTGATATTGGAACCACATACGCAGCTAGTCTCAATTGTTCAAAGAGGCTGTGTTGGTTTTGTATTCCTCTATGAATTGTTGCTAATTTCTCATAAGCGGAGGGGGAAGGAGGAATGTGTTTGCGGTATGGCAGCGGCTATAAATAAGACCTGTCATCATCTCTGGCTCCTTCGCCAAGCTTACAGCAAACCTGCGCTCCAGCACACTCTCCTAAGAAGTTATTACTGCAGCCTGCACATGCACGAGGCTTGTACATATCAGGGTGGCTGTTTGTCATTTAGGTGAAAGAGCACTGGGTTCATCCTTAGACCTGTGTCCGTCCTGTGCTGCATCCTACAGGCTGTTCAACCTCTCTAACCTCAAACCAGTTAGCTTCCTAAACCTGCTTCCCCTTGGTAGTAACACTGTTTGGTCAGAGTTGTTAGCCAGGTTCAAAAGCATAACATTATTCTAACCGAGTACAGTCCCTGTTGTTGGCCTTCAAACCGGAAAAGTAATAAAGAGATCTGTTCCCCCTGGTCACTGGGTTTGTGCTGAGGGTCAGTGAAAAGCTGTAGGGAACGCACTGGTCCCGTGTAGCGTAAAATGCTGCTCCTGCACGACCATTGGAGGCTGCCCCGTCAAGAGCTCTGATGTGAGGATGCAAGTGGGAGACTCCCGATGAGCAGTTTGACTGGGAATGTGTCATGCCGCGGTACTTCAACTGTAACTTTCCCCCCAGCCAGAAGCAGGGGAGGGGCGCGCCACCGCTCTAGTCTGGAAGGCCCTTGAGGAGATCTCTCAAGTGTAAGAAGTCCTCACTCCAGCAAAGCGCTGCAAGGACCTGGGATGGGATCTCAGCCAAATACTGGGGTGGGGTGTTGGGGCGTGGATACGGACACCCAGTCCTTAGTGTTCACTTGATTACAATTTTCCTGAGAGTTCTTTATTTTTTCCCCTTCAAGCTGGTCCCAGGACACATGGATGAGAAAGCTTGGTTCATGTATGCGATCCAGGACTTTTCTTCAGCCAAAGGCGTGGGAGGAAGGGACAAAAACGACCCTGGGTAGCACTGTGCTGCGCAGGCCCCCCCAGATCTGGCGTGGCAAAGGGCGAGAGGAGGGTCCTAGTGAGCCACGTCCCCTGCGCAGGCGCCCCAAAACCTATGCGCTGGAGGGCGAGCCGCGTACACTGCGCAGGCGCCCTAGGCTTGGCGTGGTGGAGGAGGGGTGAGGGTCCGGGAGAGCCAACCCGGCGCAGGCGCCCCAGGACCAACGGGCTGGAGGGCGGCCCGAGGGCCCCGGCGAGCCACGTGCACTGCGCAAGCGCCAATGGCCCCTCCCTCACAGATC